GGCACAGTATGTATAGAGGTGGGAGTCCCTAAAATCCTGCACTGCACAGCTTCTCTCCAGTGTGAGGACCTGGTTCCCCTAAGGCCACCCACAGACCAAAGATCAAGCATAAAGACCCAGGACTCAAAGATGAGATTTCCAGAGATGAAAAAAGTAGATGGACATCCAGCCAGGCCAGCCAGGACTCAGAGACTGTCCTCAGTTTTGAGGATTCTCTAATGATGGCCATGCCTCCGACTAAGCAGTGCAAAGTGATAGAAGGAAGTCACAGCCTGGAGGATGAACAAGGCAGGGAGGTCATCTTCATGTTCACAGAGCAATGTCTAGATGGCAGGATCCACATGATTTCTAATTTGTCTGGGAGTGTGTTAACAAGGTAGGGATCAAGAAAATATCCTTGAGATCTGTGCCTCTAGATTTTCTAGGCAACACAAAGTCAATCATCCTGTCTGGGAGAGACAACTGACCTGTACTTTGCTCACCTTTTTATCCTCTAGCAACTCCCCCAAGAAAAATAACACCCAGTCTCATATTGAAGGGAGCCCTGACTGGTGTATTCTCATCTCCTTCTCAAAGGAGTCTCTATCAAAGTATGTATGTCCTGGAACTGCTTTTCTGCTTTGTGACTGTTCTCTACAGTGAGTGTCATGGCATTGAAGGAAAGGAAACTGGGCATGTGGCCCATAGTTTGTGTTTATGATTGATGATGATGTTCACTATTCTCAGGTCCTGTGTCCCAGATGAAGCTGAAGGAATCAGGCCTGGCCTCATAAAATCCTTGCAGACCCTGTCACTTATCTGTACTGTCTGGCTTCTATGTAACCAACCATCACTGGGTCTAACAGCATCCAAGAAATGATTAGAATATGCTGGTACCATACTGTGTACTACTGAAGACACAGTTTGTGATTGTAACTTCAGCTCCAGCATCAGTATCACTAGGAATACCTCCAATATCCAAGTAGCATTAAATATGCTCCGTCTGCCATGTCTTGCTGTGCCAGAGACATGGGAGGATACTTCAGTGTGAACTGAGATGCAAACTGCAAACCTCACTACAGAGGAGCTCGGTAACAACAGAGGAACTTAAGAACTGAGTAGCCTACTCAGAACTACTTAGTGCCCCTCACATCATAGGCAGTTCTGAACTGCTGCCATGTGCTTCCTCACAAACACGCATATGTTTGATTATATTTTAGAATATGTGGTTTCCCCTTCCTGTTCAAAAAGTCTCCTATGGACCCTTTGCTATATCATAGTCTATGAGAATTTCTATTTGCTTAATTTCTAATAAGCATATCATTATTTCCCCATGGTACATTTAAGATATCCATTTGTCACCTGCTATCAGATGGAATAAACATAAAAAATAAAAGTTTTCCACAAAGGTCTGTAATTTTAAGACTTAGTGATATAAGTTCAGTTGGAAATCACAGGGAAATATAAATTATCTAAAAACCTTTCAATTTATTTCCTCTTACAGGGAGCAGAGTGAGGATCTTCCATGAATGAATGTCGTTACCACAAACAGATGGAAAAACAAGATGTCTACTCTTTCCAGCTTCCAATGTGTTAATGCTCTAATAGGGTGGAGGTAACTAAAAATTTTCCAACACTGCATACTGGAAATTTGCATCATAGTAAAGGTTAGTTTTCAACCTAGTGTTCCATGTAATGATTCCTTTGAAGATGTTTCTTATACCCTCAACTTGTGGAAATGTCTGAATGAACATTGTGCAAATGCCAGCTGATGTCATCTACTGTCTCTGTTCTAACTCCCTTCCATTGGAAACAGAGTTCCTAATCACAGTTTTCTGCTTCTTGCTGGTGTTTTCTTATTAACATTGGCTCCATGCTTAATGTAATGGAACACTTGGCTGTAGCAGAAGCTTGGAAAGATGGAATGTTTTACCTGTGAGTTAGAGAATCATTAGGGAAAGTGATGTTTGGTGCTGGTTCAGTAGGATTACAGGTTTCAGGTATCTGTGAAAGGGAAAAAAGTATACTTGTGCAGACCTGAGCCTTCTCTGAATACTTTTGTACTGACCAAACTATGTGTAAAGATATTTTGGGGAACAAACAGACTATAGAATATGGGATTACCTAAAGCAAGACAAACACAACTCATTGAACAGCATAGGGTGAAGGTGAAAACCAAGGGATTCAAGGTGTGTTACCTAATGCCAGGGTGAGTGTCAGCACACGTGGCTGCCTTTGACCTACGATAACCACAGTGGGCCTGCTGGTTTGGCACACTTTAGACATCAGGTGTCTGTGGATTAACTTCTCAATGTCTATGAGATATACTGGAGAAAAATGATAAATATATGAGCAATATTTAATGAATGTAAAGTGAGCTTTTTCTCCTAGGATTTGGGCAAATGATTCCTCAACAGCAGCATGATTCCAGTCCATATTAACCTTGTAAGCACCAGCAGTTACTTACTGAGCCAGAGTTTCCTGATTTTGGTCAGTGAGCACTGAATTTTAACCAGGCCCTGGTGGATGGGCTACAGCAAGACTGAAGCTGTGACAAGTTTATTGCCACCAATCAGAGTTTTAATACTCCAATCGAAAGCAATATAAGGACAGTTGCTATGGTCATCATAATGATACTTAACAAGATACTGTGATGTTTGCAAGTTATATGAGTATAAAATACTGACGTCTAAGACCAATTGTCCTGCCAAGCTGCTACATGCTTCATAGACTTCTAGGAAACATAGAGAAACAGATGAGCCTGAAAGTTTCCCTGCCTGAGGGAGTGGCTTGGTTTATCAGGAACTTGGAGGCACACAGTGCCCCAGGAGCCATGGACTCTAATCTAAAAACCTATGACAGGTGCCTCTTATGTCAGCAAGACTAGACCAACTACATGATTCCCTGCCAAATGTGATGACTCTAGGAAAACAAGATGCTTATTTTTCCTTAGCACAGTGATTTGGTATTTTGTAATTCTTTGTAATAACTCTCCAATACCAGTGGGTAGTGTGGATCTGGATCCAACTGCCACCAGGAAAGACCATGGTATTAAGAAGAATATTAATAACTACAGAGGCATTTAAAATCAGTCTCTGGCACATCAATTCAGTATCTCCAGAAAAACAAGAGTCATTTATACATTTTGCTGAGCTCTCTGATCATGGAAGTAGCATTAATGTGTCACTGCTCAAGAGAGAGAATCTTGAGTTTAAGCCATGGCATCCCAACCTGAAGGGAAGCTCAGGATCAGCAGCGGGAACAATTGAGCCAATAATCAACAGGACAAAAGTGAAAGGATGTGTGGAGGGGACTCCTTAGCCTCTGTGGACTCCTTTCTTAATGTCTCATAGCTGAACAACACCTGCTGCAGTTGATATGTGAAGTCTCCAATTTTCAAACACAACAAAAATTCTTTGTTAAATATTGCAGAGATTTTTATTTTCTTATTATTTTATTAGATTTTTTTTTGATTTTTTGAGACAGGGTTTCTCTGTGTAGCTTTGCGCCTTTCCTGGAACTCACTTGGTAGCCCAGGCCAGCCTCGAACTCACAGAGATCCGCCTGGCTCTGCCTCCCGAGTGCTGGGATTAAAGGCATGTGCCACCACCGCCCGGCTAGATTTATTATTTTTAATTAACAAATTTTTATTCATTTTACTTACCAATCACAGCTCCCCCTCTCTTCTCTCCTCCCACCCCCCTCAGTATCCCCCGCCAACGCATCCCCTATTCCCTCCTCTGTCAAGGTAAGGCCTCCAATAGGGAGTCAACAGAACCTGGTACATTCAACTGAGGCAGGTCCAAGCCCCTCCCCCTGCATCAAAGCTGTGTAAGATGTCCCACCATAGGTAATGGGCTCCAAAAAGCCATCTCATGCACTAAGAATGGATCCTGATCCTACTGCCAGGGATCCTTTAAGCAGATCAAGCTACATAATCATCTTGCTTATGCAGAGGGCCTAATCCAGTTTCTTGGAGGCTCCACAGCTGTTGGTCTAAATTTCATGAGTTCCCACTAGCTTGGTTTGGTTGCCTTTGTAGGTTTCTCTGTCATGATCTTGATGCCCTTGCTCATAGAATCCCTCTTCCCTCTCTTCTACTGGACTTCTGGAGCTCAGTCTTGTGCTTGCCTGTGGACCTCTGCATCTGCTTCCATCAGTTACTGGATGAAGCCTCTATGATGACAGAGTATTTACCATTCTGATTACTGGGGTAAGCCAGCTCAGGCACCCTCTCCATTATTGCTAGTAGTCTCAGCTGGGGTCAGTCTTGTGGATTCCTGATAACTTCACTAGCACCAGGTTTCTCCCTATCCGTATGATGGACCAAGAGGTGAGTGACTCTTCTCCCAACCAGAGAGTCCTTCCTCTAAGACCTATTTTTGATTTTTGAAAAAAAATATTTTTTCATACAAAGTATTCTGATCAGCTTCCATGCTGAACTCCTCTCAGGTCTTTTCCATGTTCCTACCATTTAGTTCCACAACCTTTCAATCTCTCTAATGAAAGCAAACACAGACAAAAAGGAAGAGGATTTAGAAAAGAAAGAAAAAAAAAAACAGGAGAAACACACACCTGCAACCTTCTGGAAAAGCAAATATTAATTGCTTGTACATTTAAAAAGATTATAAATTCTAATATATAAATTTTTGAAATTTTCATGCATAATTATCCTAATCATTGCCATCATCTGTAAATCAGTTTTGTAAGGAAAAGGATCAAATATCTCAGGTTGAAATCCTATTGTGAGATTAGGTCTTGATGTTATATCGACAGCGACTGCACAGGTCTCAGAATGGCTACTTCCTCAGACAGGATTCAGATTTGGACCTCAAGATCCTGCTGCCTGACCTAGGATTCCTTCTTCTCCAGCTGTACTAGGTCTTTACCTAAGAAGTACCCTGCCTCATGAATATGCAAATCATGTGAGTCTATGGTGGTAAATACAGGGAGGTCCACAATCCAGAACAACGTATGATCAGTGTCCTCTCCACAGTCACTGAACACACAAGGTCCTCACCATGAAATGGAGCTGCATCATCCTCTTGCTGGTGGCAGCAGCTACAGGTAAGGGGCTCCTAATTTCCTGACTTGAGGAGGGGCCATATACTCGGGTGACAAAGACATCCACTCTGTCTTTCTCCCCACAGGTGTTCACTCCCAGGTCCAGCTGCAGCAGTCTGGGCCTGAGCTGGTGAGGCCTGGGGCCTCAGTGAAGTTGTCCTGCAAGGCTTCTGGCTACGCCTTCACTAGCTACCCTATCAACTGGGTGAAGCAGAGGCCTGGACAGGGCCTGGAGTGGATTGGATGGATTGGTACTACAAGTGGTAATACTGGCTATGCACAGAATTTCCAGGGCAAGGCCACACTGACTTTAGACAAATCCTCCAGCACAGCCTACATGGAGCTCAACAGCCTGGCCTCTGAGGACTCTGCTGTCTATTACTGTGCAAGACACAGTACTGTAACCACATCCTGAGTGTGTCATAAACCCTGGAGGAGCAGGAAGCTGCACTAGAACTAAAGTATCTGAGGGATTAGCCTGGAGACTTGCTCAGAAAACATCATGCTGAGTGTCCATTTGTCAGCCATCTATTCACAGTCCTATAAGGTGTTTGTCAACATTTTAAAAGGACATCATAGAATCAAGAGATGCTGATTCCAGATGCTCCCTACAATGCACCATACCTTAACCAGATCTTTATAAGTGATCCCATTCATTGACAGGCTTCTTTATTGAAAGAAAAAAAATAGCAAGCTCTGGCAATGTAACATGAAATATATATCTCCATTAAACATATGCGACTAGAACTGTTGGAGGAGTAACTGGGAATATCTGTAATATGAATTTGTGCAGTAAAATACAAATTAAAATATCAGGACAAAGTAAATCCACTTTGAGAATTCAGTTTGATGTACCTAACACCATACCAAATATTTCATTGGCATTTGTCCCTATAGATTTGTGGGGATCACTTTATCTTTCCTCATAAATCTAGTTGTATATATTTATTTATATGTAAGTCTCATTCTGAATTGCTTTTGGTAGTAGTGATCAAATTTTATATTGTTTTAGAGTTAGAGACGTTATTGCGTGTCATGCTCTGGAGTCCACAGGGTATGGAGTCTGTTACATTGACAACATTTTGGGCTCCTGTTCAGATAACACTGTGGCCACAGCAGTGGGATTCCAAACTGGGAATGTAAGAGACTACTAGTTCTTGTTATCAGGAACCTTGTACGCTCAATATCCAGTTTGCTGAAATCGGATTATCTTTGTCTCAAGTTCTAGGTTGACACTGAATGGACATCAGTGTATGGTGCACAGTTGTCGCCCTAACACACATGTACACACACACACACACACACACACACACACACACACACACAAACACACTTTTTGTTGTTATAGGCAACAATGCACAATTAGCCCTTCTCTTGATTCTTGGCTCTGTTATAACTTTGACATGTCTGAATCCAATCATTCCTGTTTATGTATGGTTTCATGTTTTTGTTTTGTTTCTCATTAGGAGAATTCATATACACTTAGGCTTACAAAGGCTGAATGTCAGGAACAGAAATAATATTGCCATGGATAGCATGGCAACATAATGATAACAACAACAACAATAATACTAAGAAGAAGAAGAAGAAGAAGAAGAAGAAGAAGAAGAAGAAGAAGAAGAAGAAGAAGAAGAAGAAGAACCAGAAAACAACACAGTGGACAGTGGGATTCTCTTGTGTAAACAGTTTTATGTATTTATTTACAGATTCAGAAAAAGCCAATAAGTTGGAGAAACAAGACCCCATGACTAGAAAACCCAATTTGTTTCCCACCTGACCTGGCTCATCTCACATACATGAGCATCCTCAGGTTGAGAGTTCATTGGAATGTCTGTTTTCCTGCCAGTACATTTATTTTCCTTCTGGAAATTATTCTCACATTTCATCATTTTCCTTCCTTAACCTCTGGGCCTTTTCCAGCAGGTCACATGATACTCAGGTAGTATCTCCTACACTAGGTAAAAGGGACAGAAATTCCTTGTCATTCAAGACCTGATGCCAACCTGCTCTTGACTGTGCAATGTAAACTCTCAACAACATCATGAAATCTCTTATTCAAAAATAATCTACAGAGGATTGAAATGAAAGAAGGGTTCCCTTATCTCTAAATTCTGGGGGACCATCAACAGAAAGACTAAGAGTTGTATGAATATTGGATTGTTGTTAGATTTGAATTGGATGGACCCATGCAAGTTTCATAGGGCTGACTTCTGTAGCTGGAGATATTTCTCTCCAAGTCCCACCAAACCCCGGCAGTCCGACAGCCCACTTATAAAATAAATACACAGACACTTATATTATTTAAACTGTTTGACCTAATGGCTCAGGCTTCTAGCTATCTAGTTCTTACATCTTAAATTAATCCATTTCTATAAATCTATACCTTGCCACGTGGCTCATGGCTTACCGGTGTCATCACATGCTGCTTGTCATGGTGGTGGCTGGCAGTGTCCTCTCCTGCCTTCCTGTTCTCTCAATTCTCCTCTCTGTTAGTCCTGCCTATACTTCCTGCCTGGCCACTGGCCAATCAGTGTTTTATTTATTGACCAATCAGAGCAACAGATTTGACATACAGACCATCCCACAGCAGACTTCTGTGGGGACAGGCTGAATTTCTCAAGGAGAGACAAAGCTTCCATCTTCCACAGAATTCTACCTTATCACTAGGCTGATACCTCACAGTCACACACAATTCCTAGGACAAACTTTCTGTCTTGTACAGTATTTCTGAGAGGTTATAAAACTGTCCAAAAACATTTCAGAGCAATCTCTACATGGGATTGAGATTCTATCAAAGTAAATACAGAGGGACATAGTCTGATATTGAATGTGATTTTTAAATGACATCAAGTTTGTATGATCAATAACATTACTAAATATTTTTGCCATAAAACAACAAAAATTAAAAATAAATTAGTTACACAGAGCCTGAGGAGCAGGTGCAGAGGCCAGCAGGGGTGTTTCCTGACCCTACTTCACAGTTGATTACTCTCATTTAACCACATACAAGGCCCAGGAGACCATCACCTAGAAAGATACAAGATCTAATGTGGAGAAGTTCAGTTAGTTCCTAGGGTATGTCACTCTTCTGTGGATGCTTCAATAACAGAAATGACCAAGTTCAAAGACTCTCTCGATCACCATGTAAACAGTTTATCTCATAACAGGATGAATTCCTCTATTGGAAACCTAGAACCTTTCAATCCTGTCTCATCAAGGCTCTTCACACTGAGATTCACCCCCAATCAGTATAGTGTCATGTCCTAGGGAGGGGGCTGAACTGGAGAAATGGAAGGACATCAGAGCCAGACCCTAAAGTGGAGGCTCTAGATTATTTTCCACCTTTAGGAACTCATATACATGGTTCCTTTATTAGTCTGAAAATGTTTAAAATAGTGACCTGATGTTCCAGAGTTCTATATCCAGCACAGCCTATACCAGACTTATAAATGTAAAAAGAAAGATTCAAATTTTTAGAAGTTATTTATAGAAAATAATAGTATGTAGAATGTGCATAATAATTGTTTTCAATTCTGGGTACCACATACCAGTCACTTTGCATGAATCAACACTAAACTACACTCTTGAAAACTATTTCTTCAATTTCATAAGTGGATTCAACATCCACAAAACTTTGCTAATCCTTCTAAAATTATCAACATTGTATTAAAATGGCTTTCTGTGGAACAAATAAGGCAAAGTGGTGTCTCAGTTCAAACACACAATAGAATAAGACTTTGAATGATATCACACATATGTCATAAATAATGGATAATTCTTAAATCCTTTCTGTGTTATTCAGTTTTGTCTCTTTCCTTTGCTCTAGGCATTCACATGTCAAATACTTCTAATGCAGAGCTTTTTATACAGAGCAAGAAATGCGTACAAATCCTCCTGTGCTCCTGTAAACCATCCCAGCCCTATCTTGCAGCCCTAGCAGAGGAACACAGGCTGGGTGGGATTCCTAGGTCCTCCCATTAAGTGATTGCACTGAACAAAAGCCACTGACCAAGGAGTTTTGTGTTAGAAAAGATTTCATTGTTGATTTCAAAGTTTTTCAATTGAAATATTTTTAAAATTTCTTAAACTGAGTAGTGTACATATCAATATCCCCACTCAAATTCTTCCCATGTCCAACTCTCACTCATTAAAAATTCATGACTTCTTCAACTTTAGTTAACATTTACAAGTCTCTCTCTGCTGTCTCTGACTTTGTTTCTCTGTCTCTGTCTCTGTCTATCTCTTTCTCTCTCTCTCTGTGTGTGTATGTTTAACACATTGAGCTCAGTTATACATATGTATATGTTTATGAGTTTACTGCAGTCCACTTGGGATTCAATAACCCATCAGGTAGCTTGTCTAGAAGAAAACTCATTCTCTCTCTCTCAACAGCCATTGATTGCTTGTAACTCTTCACTTATGGGTGGAAACCTGAGACATTTCCTGTTATACTCTGGTCGCCTGGTTTAGACATCAACATTATCAAGATTTCACGGGTATAGCATCCCTATACTGTCTAGAAGATACCATCTTATAGTGGCATCCTAGTCCTGTGAATTTTACACTCTTTCTGTACCCTCTTCATGACTTTTCTGAGCCTTTGGTGTAGGGTTAACATTGAAGACGTATCAACTTCATTTGTGCATTCCAGGGTCACTTGTTCTCTGCATGTTTACCTGATGTTGATATCTGCAATAGTCTCCATCTAAAATTAAAAAATAAGAGCTCCATTAATAAGCGAATTAGGAATTTATCTGAGGGTATAAGGAGAAGTTTTTAGAACACAGAAAATACGTGTGTTTTGCAGTCAAGACACCATTGTAGGTCCAAAGGTATTATAGCTGGGTTGATGTTTACCTTAACATGCAGGTAGAATATCTTTTGTTGGCATAACCAACCAATTTCTGATTGTATTTCAGAATTACTCCATGTAATTATACCTATTCCTGACACTGCTCAGGTGGTCAAGAACCCTAATACTAAATAGCCCTGGGCCCTAGAGGAAAATCAAATACTACTATTCTGATAAAGAAGGCATGGGGATGAAAGATTTTGCAAAAACAGGGCAGACTGTTGGCACTTTGAAGCAAGAACATTGAGGAGTAGGAGGCCTAAGTGCTATGTAAGAACAATGTTTACCCAGGAGTTCAGAGAAGCAAGACCATGGTGAAGACTGCCTAAGATATGGTAAAGAGCAAAGACAACATGGTAGCATGTGGAGGAAGGTCACAGGAAGAGAGTACACTGTGGGAGAGGAAGGAGCTGGACAACCTGGTGGTGCAGTGCAGGCAAGTCTCTAAGGGGCCAGGTGGATCTTTGCTCTGAGAAAGAACAGATCTAGCTTGTGGTGAGAGAATGGAAAGTCATTGAGAATCCAGAGAGCAGAAGATATGTCATGGAAGGAAATAGGCCCACTGAGTGTTTTAGGGATGTCACAGAATTGCTGCGAGTACCTTTGTGGTGGGGAGCAGCAGATATCTTTGCTAGGGGGGAAAGGTCAGCCCTAGAGAAAATAAATGGTTAACACAGGTCTTCAAAATGTGTTTTTGTCATTGTTCAAAGAATAATCTCAGATAGTATATATGTTTATATACTAGTTTTTTTTTATTTTTTGAGGAAAATTCTTAGAGCTTTAGGGCTGACATACTATACCACTGAGCTGTGCCTACAGCCACATTTTGTTATTTCAATTCAACGCAATCTCATTATTCACTGAATCTTACACAGCATTTCTTTTTTTTTTTTTTTTAATTTATTTTGCAATACAATTCAGTTCTACATATCAGCCACGGATTCCCTTGTTCTCCCCCCTCCCGTCCCCCTCACCTTCCCCCCAACCCCCCCCCCCCCCATTCCCATCTCCTCCAGCGCAAAGCCTTCCCCACAGACTGAGGTCAACCTGGTAGACTCAGTCCAGGTAGGTCTAGTCCCCTCCTCCCAGGCCGAGCCAAACAATCCTGCATAGGCCCCAGGTTTCAAACAGCCAACTCATGCAATGAGCACAAGATCTGGTCCCACTGCCTGGATGCCTCCCAAACAGATCAAGCCAATCAACTGTCTCATCCATTCAGAGGGCCTGATCCAGTGGGGACCCCTCAGCCATTGGTTCATAGTTCATGTGTTTCCATTCATTTGGCTATTTGTCCCTGTGATTTATCCAACCTTGGTCTCAACAATTCTCGCTCATATAAACCCTCCTCATTCTCGCTAATTGGACTCCCAGAGATCCACCCGGGGCCTAGTCATGGATCTCTGCATCCAGATCCCTCAGTAGTTGGATGAGGTTTCTAGCACAACAATTAGGGTGTTTGGCCATCCCATCACCAGAGTAGGTCAGTTCGGGCTGTCTCTCGACCACTGCCAGCAGTCTGTTGTGTGGGTATCTTTGTGGATTTCTGTGGGCCTCTCTAGCACTTTGCTTCTTCCTATTCTCATGTGGTCTTTATTTACCATGGTCTCCTATTCCTTGTTCTCCCTCTCTGTTGTTGATCCAGCTGGGATCTCCCGCTCCCCCAAGCTCTCTTTCCCTCAACCCTCGCCTTTCATTACCGCCACTCATGTCCAGGCTGTTCATGTAGATCTCATTCCATTTCTCTGTCATTGGGTGATCCCTGTGTCTTTCTTGGGGTCCTGTTTTCCAGGTAGCCTCCCTGGTGATGTGAGTAGCAGACAAGTCATCCTTGTTTCATGTCTAGTATCTTGCTATGAGTGAGTACATACCATGTTTGTCTTTCTGAGTCTGGGTTACCTCACTCAGGATGATTTTTTCTAGATCCATCCATTTGTCTGTAAACCTCATGATGCCATTGTTTTTCTCTGCTGAGCAGTATTCCATTGTGTATATGTACCACATTTTGTTTATCCATTCTTCAGTTGAAGGGCATCTGGGTTGTTTCCATGTTCTGGCTATTACAAACAATGCTGATATGAACATAACTGAACAAGTGCTCTTATGGTGTGGTTGAGCATTTCTTGGGTATATGCCCAAGAGTGGTATAGCTGGATCTTGGGGGAGATTGATTCCCAATTTTCTAAGAAAGCGCCATATTGATTTCCAAAGTGGTTGTACAAGCTTGCATTCCCACCAGCAGTGGAGGAGAGTTCCCCTAGCTCCACATCCTCTCCAGCATAAGGTGTCTTCAGTGTTTTTGATCTTAGCCATTCTGACAGGCGTAAGGTGGTATCTCAGAGTTGTTTTGATTTGCATTTCCCTGATGATTAGGGATGTTGAGCAGTTCCTTAAATGTCTTTCGGCCATTTGAGTTTCCTCTGTTGAGAATTCTCTGTTTAGCTCTATAGCCCATTTCTTAATTGGACTGTTGGGCATTTTGATGTCTAATTTCTTGAATTCCTTATATATTCTGGATATCAGTCCTCTGTCAGATGTGGGGTTGGTGAAGATCTTTTCCCATTCTGTAGGCTGTCGCTTTGCCTTGTTGACTGTATCCTTTGCTCTACAAAAGCTTCTCAGTTTCAAGAGGTCCCATTGATTGATTGTTTGTCTCAGAGTCTGTGCTACTGGTGTTCTATTTAGGAAGTAGTCTCCTATGCCAATGCGTTCAAGACTACTTCCTACTTTCTCTTCTAGCAGGTTCAGAGTAGCTGGATTTATGTTGAGGTCCTTGATCCACTTGGACTTAAGTTTTGTGCACGGTGATAGATATGGATCTATTTGCAGCCTTCTACATGTTGATATCCAGTTTTGCCAGCACCATTTGTTGAAGATGCTTTCTTTTTTCCATTGTGCACTTTTGGCTTCTTTGTCAAAAATTATATGTTCATAGGTGTGTGGATTAATGTCAGGGTCTTCAATTCGATTCCATTGGTCCACATGTCGGTTTTTATGCCAGTACCAAGCTGTTTTTATTACTGTAGCTCTATAGTAGAGCTTGAAGTCAGGGATTGTGATGCCTCCAGAAGTTGTGTTATTGTACAGGATTCCTTTGGCTATCGTGGGTTTTTTGTTTTTCCATATGAAGTTGAGTATTATTTTTTCCAGGTCTGTGAAGAATTGTGTTGGTATTTTGATGGGGATTGCATTGAATCTGTAGATTGCTTTTGTTAGGATTGCCATTTTTACTATGTTAGTCCTGCCTATCCATGAGCATGGGAGATCTTTCCATTTTCTGACATCTTCTTCAATTTCTTTTTTCAGGGACTTAAAGTTCTTGTCATATAGGTCCTTCACTTGCTTGGTTAGTGTTACCCCAAGGTATTTTATGTCATTTGTGGCTATAGTAAAGGGTGATGTATCTCTGATTTCCTTCTCCGCTTCTTTGTCCATTGTATATAGGAGGGCTACTGATTTTTTTTGAGTTGATCTTGTATCCTGCTATGTTGCTGAAGGTGTTTATAAGCTGTATCAGTTCCTTGGTGGAATCTTTGGGGTCGCTCAAGTATACTATCATGTCATCTGCAAATAGGGAAAGCTTGACTTCTTCCTTTCCAATTTGTATCCCCTTAATCTCCTTATGTTGTCTTATTGCTCTGGCTAGAACATCAAGTACTATATTGAATAAGTATGGGGAGAGTGGACAGCCTTGCCTCGTTCCTGATTTTAGTGGAATTGCTTTGAGTTTCTCTCCATTTAATTTGATGTTGGCTGTTGGCTTGCTGTAAATTGCCTTTATTATGTTTAGGTATGTTCCCTGTATTCCTGATCGCTCCAATACCTTTATCATGAAGGGGTGTTGGATTTTGTCAAATGCCTTTTCTGCATCCAGTGAGATGATCATATGGTTTTTTTCTTTGAGTTTGTTTATATGGTGTATTACATTGACGGACTTTCGTATGTTGAACCACCCTTGCATCCCTGGAATGAATCCTACTTGATCATGGTGGATAATTGTTTTGATGTGTTCTTGGAGTCTGTTTGCCAGTATTTTATTGAGTATTTTTGCATCAATGTTCATGAGGGAGATCGGTCTGTAGTTCTCTTTCTTTGTTGTATCCTTGTTTGGTTTAGGAATTAGGGTAATTGTAGCCTCGTAGAAGGAGTTTGGTAATGTTCCTTCTGTTTCTATTGTGTGGAACAATTTAGAGAGTATTGGTATTAACTCTTCTTTGAAGATCTGGTAGAATTCTGCGCTGAAACCATCTGGTCCTGGGCTTTTTTTGGTTGGGAGACTTTTAATGACTGTTTCTATTTCGTTAGGGGTTATTGGACTATTTAAATAGTTTATCTGGTCTTGATTTAACTTAGGTATGTGGTACCTATCCAGAAAGTTATCCATTTCTTTTAGGTTTTCCAGTTTTGTCGAATAGAGGTTTTTGAAGTATGACCTGATAATTCTCTGGATTTCCTCAATGTCTGTTGTTATGTCCCCCTTTTCATTTCTGATTTTGTTGATTTGGATGCTCTCTCTCTGTCTTTTGGTTAGTTTGGATAAGGGCTTATCTATCTTGTTGATTTTCTCAAAGAACCAACTCTTTGTTTCATTAATTTTTTGTATTGTTCTCTTTGTTTCTATTTTATTGATTTCAGCTCTCACTTTGATAATTTCCTGGCGTCTATTTTTCCTGGGAGACTGTGCTTCTTCTTGTTCTAGAGCTTTCAGGTATGCTGTTAAGTCTCTAGTGTGAGATTTCTCCAACTTATTTATGTGGGCATTTAGTGCTATGAATTTCCCTCTTAGTACTGCTTTCATAGTGTCCCATAAATTTGGATATGTGGTGTCTTCATTTTCATTGATCTCTAGGAAGTCTTTAATTTCTTTCTTTATTTCTTCCTTAACCCATTGGTGATTCAGTTGGGTATTATTCAGTTTCCATGAGATTGCAGGTTTTCTGTAGTTTTTGTTGTTGTTGAAATCCAACTTTAGACCATGGTGGTCTGATAGAACACAGGAGGTTATTCCAATTGTTTTGTATCTGTTTAGATTTGTTTTGTGGCCAAGTATGTGGTCAATTTTAGAGAAGGTTCCATGGGGTGCTGAGAAGAAGGTATATTCTTTTTTGTTAGGATGGAATGTTCTGTAGATATCGATTAAGTCCATTTGAGTCATGACATCAGTTAAGTCCTTTATTTCTCTGTTAAGTTTCAATTTGGGAGATCTGTCCAGTGGTGAAAGTGGGGTGTTGAGGTCTCCCACTATTAATGTGTGGGGTTTTATATGTGATTTAAGCTTTAGTAATGTTTCTTTTACATATGTGGGTGCCCTTGTGTTTGGGGCATAAATATTCAGAATTGAGACTTCATCTTGGTGGATCTTTCCTGTGATGAGTATGTAATGCCCTTCTTGATCTCTTTTGATTGATTTTAGTTTGAAGTCTATTTTGCTGGATATCAGGATGGCTACACCCGCTTGTTTCTTAAGACCGTTTGATTGGAAAGTCTTTTCCCAGCCTTTTATTTTTAGGTAGTGTCTATCTTTGAATTTGAGATGTGTTTCTTGTATGCAGCAGAAAGATGGGTCCTGCTTTCGTATCCATTCTGTAAGCCTATGTCTTTTTATAGGTGAATTAAGTCCATTGATATTGAGGGAAATTAATGACCAGTGATTGTTCATTCCTGTTATTTTTTGGTGGTGATGTGTGGGTACTTCTATACGTTGGGGTTTACTGCTGTGGCTTTATCTGTTGCCTGTGTTTTCGAGGGTGTATCTGACTTCCTTAGGTTGGAATTTTCCTTCTAGTGCTTTCTGTAGGGCTGGGTTTGTGGATAAGTATTGTTTAAATCTGGCTTTGTCATGGAATGTCTTGTTCACTCCATCTATGGTGATTGAAAGCTTTGCTGGGTATATTAGTCTAGGTTGACATCCATGGTCTCTTAGTGTCTGCATTACATCTGTCCAGGTTCTTCTGGCTTTCAAAGTCTCCATTGAGAAATCGGGTGTTATTCTGATGGGTTTGCCTTTATATGTCACTTGGCCTTTTTCCTTTGCTGCTCTTAATATTCTTTCTTTATTCTGTACGTTTAGTTGTTTAACTATTATGTGGCGAGGGGACTTTTTTGGGGGGTCTAGTCTGTTTGGTGTTCTATAAGCTTCTTGTATCTTCATAGGCATTTCCTTCTTTAAGTTGGGAAAGTTTTCTTCTATGATCTTGTTGAATATATTTTCTGTGCCCTTGAGTTGGTATTCTTCTCCTTCTTCGACCCCTATTATTCTTAGGTTTGGTCTTTTCATGGTGTCCCAAATTTCTTGGACATTTTGGTTCATGACTTTGTTGGCTTTAGTGTTTTCTTTGACTGATGAATGTATTTCTTCTACTGTATCTTCAATGCTAGAGATCCTCTCTTCCATCTCTTGCATTCTGTTGATTATACTTGCATCTGAAGTTCCCAATCGTTTTCTCAGATTTTCTATTTCCAGCATTCCCTCTGTTTGTGTCTTCTTCATTTTTTCTATTTCCCTTTTCAGGTCTTGGACTGTTTCCTTCATTTGTTTCATTGATTTTTCTTGATTTTCTCTCAGTATTTTATTGTTTTCTTCCAGGACTTTATTGATTTCTTCTAATTTGTTTGCCCTTTCCTCTAGTTGTTTACAGCGTTCTTCACATTTTTTTGTCTTTTCCTCTACGCAAGCCTCTAGCTTCTTCATGATGTCATTCATAAGGCTGTTTTCTTCTGCTTCTTCCAATTTCTGATGTTCAGGTCTAGGTGTTGGAGGAGGGCTAGGGCCAGGTGATGCTGTATTGCTATTCATTTTGTTGTATATATTTCTGCCTTGACGTCTGCCCATCTCCTTGTGGTTCGTTCTTGGCCTTATCCGCACACTTGGTTCAGACAGACCAGTGTTCCAAAAGGGAAGTCAGTGTTCCAAAAGGGAAGTCCGGAGCAAGATGGGAGCTGGGGGCCGGCCTCTGGGTCTCAGGAAGAGGCTTGGGGCTCAGGCGGATGGGCGTGGGGGCAGGGCGTGGAGACTGCAGGGTCTGCCAGGGGTCTTGGAGAAGGGGATCCTTCCCGGTGGGGCTAGCAGGGAACCTGCCCGGTGGCCAGAACCTGGGGCCGAGTTGGGCAGGTCTTCCCTGGAGTGGCTGGTGCCCAGGGATGGGGTCTGGGGCAAGGAAGGGTACTCACGAGTGTTCCAAAAGGGACGTCCGGAGCAAGATGGGCATTTCTTAAATTATTATATTTCAGTTTTTCTCATCTTAATTTCCTATTAAATTATTTAATAATTTATATAAAGACAAGAAAAGAGTTTACACATACAGAGTATAGTTATGAAAACTTATCTTTCTATGTAAAACTAGAAATTTATACTAAGTAAATTTTCTTGGTTTTTCAATGCTTATTTCTCCTCTATTTTTATTTGGCATACAGTTTCATATAGACCAAGCACAACTCAAACTGACAATTTTCCTCCTCTAACCTCTTGCTTCTCATACAAAGGTGGGAATGAACACAGGGATTCAGGCATGCAAAACATACTCTACCAAATGAGCTATGTCCCCAGGACAATAAGTGAGACTTTATTATTGTGCAAGGGCTACAGGCTGGAGAGACTAAGACTTGCCATATTTTTTTCAGAATATATCTGTGATACAGAGACTTGACAACTTAGGATACAACTTTCTAGTATAAGGACATATTTCACTGTATTCTTTCACAGAAAGAGGAGTCACAGTTTCTTGGACTGATTAAACTTCATAAAAATTATGGGAAGTCTCAAATATCTATTGCTTGAGACTAATAATGTCACCATGCCTACCACTAGATACAGTAGATTGTTGCTGCTGCTGTGATTTCCTGTGACTGGCACTCTCCTTCTCTTTCAGCCTTCCAAAATGAACTTAATCCCAGAGGTTCTTCTGATATTACATTTGCAGGGAGCTTCCAAGCCCCCAGCACTGATTTGGGATCTTTAACGTACCCAGTGTCATGAACTGAGCAGGTGCCAGGTTCTCTGCATCTCTAGTGTGCAGCCAATGATCTGATAGCCATGAAATATAGAGTAAAATTGCTTGTATGTTGATGTTTATACGTTCTATTGTTTCTTTCCCTGAGAGTAGCAGCCTAGTACAGGGGATAAGTTCTGCATTGTATAAATTACTAAAACAACTAGATGATACAAATATTGACCCAAATTAGGTGAAAGAATAAAAGATATTTTTATGGAGACCAGACTGTGAATCAACAAGGTCATGGCACACCACCAATGTGCAGTGAAAACTAAATTCACAAGATGTCACCTCCCACCTGTGGATGTGTTCAGGGTGAGATGTGTGTTCACTTCTGTGACTGTGGTGATGGTTAAACAAGGTTCCATGTGTATGGATGCTTAGCATGTGAAAAAATAAATGTGCAATCATCTGATGTCAAGTACATTTGCAGCAAATAAAATATGTATCCATACTTTCAGGAACTATTAAAATGAAAAAAAATCAAAAGTGTGAACAGCTATCTGTCCATTGGCTATGCACTAGAAGTGTAGAGAACTGATAGCTGCTCTGTGATGACACTGGAGTCCTTAAAGGTCCCAAATCAGTGCTGAGGCTCTGGGAACTATTTGGAGATATAATATCAGAAGCTCCTCTGATGTTAAGAG